TACATTTTTTTTCTTTTCATGATGACAGTGGTGAGGCTCTGCCTCCCCTGCCTCCCCTGACTGCACGTCCCTGTATTTCTGATACTTATATTCATATGCTGTTTTCAGTTGCAGAAAACGTTAGTTATCAGACACTAAGAATGCATTCAATCAATCAATCAGAATAGAGCTGGAAGGGACGTTGGAGGTCTTCCAGTCCAATCCCCTGATGAAGCAGGAGATCCTATACCATTTCAGACAGGTGGTTGTCCAGTCTTTTCTTAAAAATCTCCAGTGATGAAGCACCTACAACTTCGGAAGCCAATCGGTTCCACTGGCTAATTGTCCTCACTGTTAGGAAGTTTCTCTTTAATTCCTGGTTATTTCTCTCCTTGACTAGTTTCCAACTATTGTTTCTTGTCTTGCCTTCTGGCGCTTTGTGGCATTCCCTCAAATATTGGAATACCGCTATCATGTCACTCCTAAACCTTCTTTAATCCTTGCCATACTCAATACCTGCAACTGTTATTCCCTTGATCATCTTAGTTGCTCTTGTCTGCACTCAATATCTTTTTTGTAATGTGGTGACCAAAACTGGTTGCAATACTCCAGGCGTGGCCTTACTAAGGCTTTATAAAGTGGTATTAATACTCCTCATGATTTTGATTCTATGCCTCTGTTTATACAACCAAGGATTGTGTTATCTTTTTTAACGGCTGCCACACACTGCTGATTCACTGAACATCCACAAGGACTCTAAGGTCCCTTTCACAGTTAGTGTTTTTGAGTCAGATTTCGCTTAATCTCTACTTGTACCTTTGGCTTTTCTCCACATTAAATTTCATTTTGTTGGATAGGACCCATTGTTCAAGTCCGTCATGATCTTTTTGGATCCTGGGCTTGTTTTCTGGGGTGTTGGCTATTCCAACACAGCTTACTGTCATCTGCAAAGAACCTCTGAAAGTTATTTGGAGAGCGACTGATCACTTCTCCCTTTTGGTGATCTATTCTGCTTGGTGAATTGTGAATTGTTCTGTCAAGATGTGCAAATCCAACATAGCTTAATCTCCTCCTAGTTCTTTTCATAGCATATTGCGAATCTTTTTTTTTTTTCCTCAGAAGGACGAAAAATAGAAATTTAGAATTTGCATGAAATCTGATTCTGATAATCAAATGGGGGAAGAAGTGAGAAAATATTTGGATTTGAAAGATCCAATGGTTTCCTAGACCTCACCTGATGTGAATTAATTGTATATAGCTAGAAAGAATATTTCTCGACTGCATGCAGAAAGAAAACATATTCTTAAAAAAAAAAAAAGAAGATGAAGGGATATAAACATCACTAGAATAGCTACAAGCATATCATCTCAAGGAAGGTGTCCATATCTGTTCTGGATTTCTTTTTTTCAAATTCTAGAAAGCACAAAAAATAATTGTTCCGTGTGAGTTGCATGAAGAAGCTAAAAGGCCGCATCTATAAAAACAAAGGCATCGTGCATCCCAAAATATTTCTGTATTATGTGACAAATTATACCAGGCCCAGTAATAGTAACCTTTATTACAGTGGGAGGGAGAAACATTTCCTTTTTTCCTTTTCAATCTTTAAATGAGGATTTTTTTCCTATTTTTGGAAATTCCTTGTTCCATAACACCTATTTATAAGATTGTTATGTAAATACGATAGCAAAAATGACCTAAACATCATTTCTGAAGAGAACAGCAGAAAGTAACACATAGCTACTGATTTATGAAGTATTTTCCCCTTTGACTTGGAGTGCTCACAATTCTTCATTTGAAGACAGTCTCAAGTGTACAAATTTTAATTAGATAAACTATCCAATCAATATATCAACAGATCAATCAAAACAGTAGCTTTTAAAATGAGTGGTTAGAGGGGTGTTTCTGAAACAAATGACTAGAAGAATATTTTCCTAGAATTGAATTCATTTGTTAGCATAATAGGAGATTAAACTCTAATTAGTGTGGAGGGTGTTGGAGAAGGGAGGGGAGTTGTGTGTAGGGAAACCTCCAGCGATAGCCAAAAAACGAGAGAGTGAATTGCATCTATGAATAACAGCGTGTTCGTAAAAATAGCATGCTACATTATACATTTTTTCAGCATGATGTTTATTGCAATAGGTGCACCCGTTTTTCAGAGTCTGTATGCTTCAAAAAAAGAAATGTCTTTCTTTCTTTTCTTTTCCTTTTAGGTTGTTGTATCAACAACAGTCAATGTGGATGGCCATGTTCTGGCTGTCTCAGACAACATGTTTGTACATAACAACTCCAAACACGGAAGGCGGGCTCGCCGCCTCGACCCCTCAGAAGGTACGGCCCCTTCTTATCTGGAAAATGGTAGGCACACATTTACATGGCTTTTTAATTTGCAATGTTTTCTTTGCACCATTTTTTTCCCCCCGCACACAACCATATTTATTTATTTTTCATGGTTTCTTTGTCCTCCGGATTCATCCCATTAAAATGCATTAGCTTTTTCCCGACTCCACTTTAAAAAGGAGGTTGTTCCTTCCTTATTTGCTTTTGACTTAAATTTCTTATAACATATAACATCTGCAATGTTTTCTATCCTTTTCTATTTATTTGCTAACAGCTTTTTTTTCTGTTTCACTACGATTTTCTTCTGCTTTGGCTTTTTTGGAAATCATTGGGAAAAATATACATTATGCATGTAAGTTTGCATAGGAACCAGAGTCAATGGTAGTTTTTGTAAAGAATTTACTATGAGTTTGCTCAACTCATGGGACTGGGCCTTAATGCAGCATATTAAGGCAGTATGTCTCCTCACTCTTTTTTTTTTCTAAAATTGTTAGAGAAAAGTAATTTCAATTCTCTAAAATGAAACATTGTCAACCACTGGAGGTTGCATATTCAAGCATCTAACATCTAATATTTATCTAGGATTTATTTAAGGCCAAATTCAATCCCAGTTACTTTTATTGAAAGAACCACTGATACCTGACAAATCTGTAGAGTAATAATGGATATAGTTCTAATAGTATAAAGCAATACATGTTACATTTTACTGAAAAAGAGATCACATTTTCCCCAAATAATTTATATTTAAAATAGAAAAGTTGTCAGTGACAATAAATAATACAGATCAGAGGGTTTTTCCCCCTGCCTAATCTTCCTTTGGGAGTTGAAAACATTATATTAAATTCGGCTTTGTTTTCAGGTAAAAACAGTTAATAAACGGTATAAATAAACACATAATAAATGTGGCACTTTTGCCACATATATGATCTCCCACAGAAGAACAAATAATACAATAAAAGTTAGAAGACACAATGCTAATCCTTAAACTACCAAAATAACAAACATGGAGATAACTGCTTGAAAAATAAAAGTTACATTTATAGCTTTTCAGAACAATAAGAAAGGTGGGGGCACGTGAATCTTCTAAAAAAAGAACAATTTCAGGGTACAGGAATCACAACCAATATTTTGTTAACATTGAAATAGAAATGCAAAAATACCATTAATGGAGAACATGATGTCTAATTAGTTGATCTAATGTTGAGTTAAAAGCTACTTGGGCAAGAAATTAAGATCTCCTGCAAATAATTATTTTATCTACCTTAAGACTTATACATCAGCAGGTTGACCCAGAAGGTGCTTTTTTCAAGAGGCAACTGGACTTTCTGTTTTTTCTTTGAAGATGTTTCGCTTCTCATCCAAGAAGCTTCTTCAGCTCTGGCTGGATGGTGGGAAATGGATGAAAAGTGAAATGTCATTCAAGCAAAACCAGAAAGTCAGGTTACCTCTTACAAAGGCATCTTTGGGACACCAAGATCTGGATGACTAAGAATCTCCATAGACATCAGTAGGTTGAATTCAGCTATATGCCCTTGCCATTGGGGACAGAACAAGAGTTCACTCTTCCATGCTATCTTAAAAGAAAAATTAATACAGAGAGTCAATGAATTGCAAAGGTTATGATGTGGGTGTAATGATTCTGTATTCTATTCTTGTACTTACACTACATTCACCAACGTTGAAGAATGGCTTCTTGCATTCCCCCAAATCAGGATAAACTCAAAAGTTTAATTCTTTCAGTAATTCCGAAGCCATGCTTATAAATAAATACAAATTATTTCTTCACGTGTTGCCTCTTGACACTGTTTATAATTAAATTATGAATTTTGATTGTAGGAAATGTAGGAGTGATGCACATTAATCTCTAACTTTCAAAAGGTGCTCAACAAATTGACGAAAAATAAAACTATCAATAGGAACTTATTGTCATATGATCTCTAATATATATGACCTCCAAGATACATTACACACACACACACACACACACACACACACACAGGGAGGGAGAGACTTTTTTCTGATTCTGAACAATGTGAACCAAAGCAGATAGGACTTGTGTCCCCATGCCCATCTTATGCCCATTTTATGCCTTTAGGAATGTAGCTAGCCATGATCATAAACATGATACTGGGTTACATGGATCTGACAGACAATCTGTTTGTGGTTTGTTGAACTTCTTATACCAAGAATCAATGCTTCGCTTCATATACATTGTCATGCCGCTACTGAAGCTGGACAAGTATACTCTACCGTACAGTTTACCAGCCTTTACATTAATTCTAGTAATGACAGAAAACTCAACAATCTACAAGTAGTGAATCAGATTTACTGAAAATATAAAGGAATGGTGATTACATGCAATGGTGAACTAATTAAAATATAATTTAGGCATCGGAATATTAATGTTCTTTGCAGAAGAAAAATGTTTTTATCCTCTAATAGCTAAGGTAAAAGAGAACAAAAAATATAATAATTAAAGGTTGCCCCAAGCACAAGAGTCATTATGATCTATGACGTATTGTTTACCTCTTTCATAGGTGTGTATTTGCCTGGCAACCATCACTAATGAGGCTTACAATTAAGAAGGCTGAACTCTCTGTCTTATTCTTTTTCTTCCCGAGAGAGAAAGAGAGAGAGAGAGAGAGAGAAAGAGAAAGAGAGAGAGAGAGAAAGAGAGAGAGAAA